TCCTTTCCTTTTTCCTTTCCTTTTTCCCGCCCTGCTACCTATCCGTCTCTGCCTCTCCCTCACTGTCTCTTTATCTCTCTCTCTCCACCCCATCCCACCCCACCCCACCCCACCCCACCACACCACACTCCCTCACTCCCTTCTTTCCTTCCTTCCTTCCTTCCTTTCCAAGATTGGGTCTCACTGTATACTTGAGGATGGCTTTAGACTCACTATATAGCCCAGGCTGGCCTCAAACTCACAGTGACCCTCCTGCCTCAGCCTCCTGAGTTTGGGCATCACAGGCATGCACCACCATGCCCGGCTCTGTTGTTTTCAGTATAGCAGTACTCTGTACTTCTATATTGGAGTTTTATTTATAAGTTGGGTTTCCATAGTGAACTTGCTGATTGAAGTTGACTTTTAAGAATGGTCATACAGCCGAGCATGGTGGCACATCCTGTGACCCCAGCACTGCAGGCTGTCGTGGAACAAAGAACCCATGCTTTGTAGGTATTACAAGAGGTAAAGAACAACCATAGCTCCTTAAATTTTAATGAAATAGGTATCTCTTGTAATTTTTGCACTTAAGTAGTACCTTTTCTGTATATTTAAGCTGCTAGCAAATAGCTGCGTCACTCTGTGAGATGAAAGTGTGCGTCAGAGACTTCACGCGTTTTCTGTCATCTTTCCCTTACTCGTGCACCAGTGCTCCTTTCCCTTGGTAACGAAGCTCTAACGAGCTGGTGAGCTCTGGACAGAGTTTGTGTGGCGTGCTGACCTCACCTCGTGTGCTCCCGCAGAGTCTGGCCAGCCCATCTGCGGCAACGGGATGGTGGAGCCGGGCGAGGAGTGCGACTGCGGCTACAGCGACCAGTGCAAGGACGAGTGCTGCTTCGACGCGAACCAGCCCGTGGGCAAGAAGTGCAAGCTGAAGCCCGGCAAGCAGTGCAGGTAGCTCCGGCCGGCCGCCGGGCCGCGGCGTGGGCTGGGGCGGGCTGCTGGGCTTCCGAGGCTCTGTCTGCCCTTGTTGCTGTGCTCTTGTACTTACTTTCCTGAGATGCCCTGTAGCGCCCTGTCGTGGGCAGTTGGAACTCCCCAGGATTTGTGTGCTGCGTGTAAAAGGACCTGAAAGGGCTGCTCATTAGAGTACATGTAATTTGTTTCCATCTTTAAAAATGCGATTATCTGCTGTATTTTTAGAGTCTTAACTTGCACTAGGTAATTATGGAGTACGCGCACTTTGTGATTTAGCGTCAGTTCACTTATCTAATTATTTCGGTAGTGGTGGGTTATACGCAAAAGAATATAGTATTACCATGTTTGTAAATGTATTCTAGTTTGATTTTAGCATAAAAATACTAGAAAAACTGCTAAATTGCCTAATGCATAGTGTAATTGTGAATAAACACTGCCTGCCACGAAAGGCAGCTAGAGGAGGGACGCTGTGCTGGGCGCGGTGCGCACACCTATAGTCTCAGCACTCGGGAGGCTGAGGCAGGAGGATCATTGCACATTTGAGACCAGCCTGGGCTACAGAGTGAGCTCAAGGCCAGCCTGAACTGCACAGCGAGACCGTGTCTCAAAAAGACAAAACAAAAAAATTGTATACCAGTAACATGCTTATAATTTGAGATGAGGTTAGTGATTTAAAAATTAGGACCAAGTCAGTATTTAGAAAATGCCTGGTGACTGACTTTCTGATCACCAAATTCTCTCCTAGCCCGAGTCAAGGCCCCTGCTGCACGGCACAGTGCTCGTTCAAGTCCAAGGCCGAGAAGTGCCGGGACGACTCCGACTGCGCAAGGGAGGGGGTCTGCAATGGGGTCACGGCCCTGTGCCCCGCGTCTGACCCGAAGCCCAACTTCACGGACTGCAACAGGCACACGCAAGTGTGCATCAACGGGGTGAGCGCGGCCCTGTGCTCTTACATTTTAATGTCGTAGAGCCGCTTTTTCAGAGTAACTCCGGACACGTGCAGCTACGTAAGGTAGCTAGCCCTGGCCTCCGTTTCGGGAGCGTCCCCGCCTGTTCCCCGCAGAGCCGGGGTGTGTTAAGTGGCACAGGTGCCTGGGGGCGCTCACTTAGCTGCCGACGTGCTTTTCATCTTTCCAGGAGGCCGGGGAGACGTAGCGGTGTGGTTAGGCATTTGTGACTTCGCGTGTACAGCTTTTCATTTCGTAAATTAATGTTTCGTTTGCCTAAATAAAAGCACTCTTCTGATCATTTTCTCCGAATGTAAAGCCTTTGAAGTCCTCCTGGCTGTCGCTTTCGTCCACATCAAGAAAATCTCATTTTCTCTGCTTGTAGAGCAGCCATAATAACCAGCATAAAGCTGACACTCGTCTAATCTCTTTCTCTACTTCTGTTCAAGTTTAGTTCTTCTTGTTGCCATTGCCTTTTTAAATATGTGTTTATAGGGTCCAGTTCTTTTTTTGGTCTTTTTGAGAGACGGTCTGGCTGTGCAGCTCAGACTGGCCTTGAGCTCTCTCTGTAGCTGAGGCAGGTCTCAAACTCGAAGTGATCCTCCTGCCTCAGCCTCCCAAGTGCTGGGATTACAGGCGTGCACCACCATACCTGGCTTATGATCAAGTTTTAATTCAGCTATGTGTTTTGTTCTGTGGTGCACATGCCAGGCAAGCACCCTACCCCTGAGCCACATTCCCCGCTGTTTGTTGTGCTGTATTTTCACATACTTACTTTGACATTGGAAGCCTGTCCCCCTCTGTGAGTACTAGGTCTGGCTGCGTGGGGATGAAGTACCGTTTCTTTCGTTACAGCAATGTGCAGGCTCCATCTGCGAGAAGTACGACCTGGAGGAGTGCACCTGCGCCAGTTCTGATGGCAAAGACGATAAGGAGCTATGCCATGTCTGCTGCATGAAGAAAAGTAAGGCTTCGTAAATACAGCAGTATGAAATCTTTCATAAACTGTCATTTTCTCCAAATTGTAAGCGGTGCACTTTGACCTACAGTTTGGGCAGATAGTCTCTAGCTGCACCGTCTTTTTGAGGAAAGTTGGACGGTACCACAGTGTTCTGTCTCTAGCAGTACCGTGCCTGCAGTGTTTTTAAGTGATGCGCTGGACAGAGCATTCCTTCTGTGCCCAGATTCCGAAGGGTTTAAGGCCTTTGCAGGCGCTCAGTCCAGACTTCCTGTTGTCTGCTTCCGCTGTGACGCTGAGGGCGAGTGATTGCGGTGTTCCCTGCCGAGCTAGCGGAGGCCTGCTCATCGGTGGTGATTTGGGGCGGTTTCTTCTTTCCCTTCATCTTCCCCGACTGGCCCGTCAGGAAACCCGATCTTCGGCTCACTCTTGATGCTTCTCTTGCAGTGGAGCCCTCCACCTGTGCCAGCACAGGGTCTGTGCAGTGGAGCAGGCACTTCGGCGGCCGCACCATCACCCTGCAGCCCGGATCTCCATGCAACGATTTCAGAGGCTACTGCGATGTTTTCATGCGGTGCCGACTGGTGGATGCTGACGGCCCTCTAGCCAGACTTAAAAAAGCGATTTTTAGCACCCAGCTCTATGAGAACATCGCCGAATGGATTGTGGTAAGTGTCGTTTTCATTTTTTAATTGAATTTTTAAAGTTTTTTTAAATCATGTTTGGAGTACATAACAATTACGTTCATTTGGAGGGTTGATACACGTACATGTTGCCTCTTAAGAACTGTAGTAAGAATAGTTTAATTTATAAAGAAAACAAAATGGTTGGACCTTAATTTTCCTGAGCCAGGGGTCACTGATGTTGTGGGAAAATCATGTTTCCTGTTTATACTTACTCTCTTCTTTCTCGCTCTTTCTTTCTCTTTCTCGCTCTTTCTTTCCTTCTTTCATTCATTCATTCATTCATTCATTCATACCGGGAATTGAACTCAGGACTTTGCGCTTGCCAGGCATGCCCTGTGTTGCAGAGCTATATCCCCAGCCTACTTTATTTAAAGATTTTATTTTATTTTATTTTTTTTGGTTTTTCTCCGGTACCGGGAACCGAACTCACGAACTTGCGCATGCCAGGCAGGCGCTTTTGCCGCTGAGCTAAATCCCCAGCCCCTCTTATTTAAAGATTTTAAATGTCCCTGGTTTTTATTTTCTTCTGACGTGCTGTCTCCCCACCTGTGTCCCTCGTAGCTCTGTTGGGAGGTGCTGGGAGTCGCAGCGCCTCTCTGCTCCTCAGCTGGGCTCTGCCCTGCAGCGGTGACTTCCTCTTGCCTCTGTGACAAGGACATTTCCGCACGTCTTTTCCCTCAAGCTGTTTTGGAAAGTCCTGCTTGCTTCTCACGCTTCTCCCTGGTCTCAGCATGGTGGAGAGCCAGTCTGGGTCCTACTTTGCCCAACAGGATTGATGAGAGAGAAATTGGTGATTTTCTGAAGCTCTTGTCTGGTGTGTCATACAATTTCTGGGTTTTCGTCTTTTCTATAACTGTAAATGTTGGCAAGGCTGGGGTAGACACCGCGCCTTCCCAGATCTGTCCGCGTTGCGGCTGTGCATCCAGCACTAGTCCGTGACGCCGGAACTAACCCGTATATGCTGGATTGCAATTTCTTGAGTTTTTGCATGAAATTCATATATGTTACCTATAAAAATTCAAGGAACAAGAATTTGAAGAGAAGAAATTTCATTGTGTTCCATTCTAGTGGGCACTCCAAAAATGGAATAGTAGGCATTGCAGGCTTAATTTTTAAGCGCGCTTTTCTCTCCTTTCCTCTCCCCTCCCCTCCCCTCCCCTCCTCTCCTCTCCTTTCTTTCTCTCTCTTTTTTTATTTATTTCTTTCCTTTTTTTTGTTTTCTTTCCGGTACCGGGAATCGAACTCACAACCTTGCACTTGCCAGGCAGGCGCTGTGCTGCTGAGCTAAATCTTTCCTTTTTTGAGACAGGCTTTTACTGTGCAGTTCAGGCCGGCTTTGAACTCACTTTGTAGCAAAGGCTGGCTTTGGACTTCTGGCGATCCTCCTGCTTCAACTGGGATTATAGGAGTGCACTGCCACGCCCAGCCTAAGCACATATCTCTCCAAATTGTGAAAATGTTGAATTTTCTGACAAGATTACTGAGAAAGCTGTCTCACCTCACTTAGTGTCTGGGTGCTAAGGGATTGCGTTAAAGTTTCTGCAGGAAGTGATGTGTTTGGGAATGTGCTTGCCTAAACCGAATGTAGTCTGCTTTGGAAATTGACTTAGCGATCACATACCCTCCGCTTCCTGGATTTTTTTATTGTACGTGTGTGTGCGCGCGCGCGCGCTTGGGAGTAAGGAGACCTTGAAAGTACAAGAGGGTGTTTGTGTGGGATGTCAGCCCTTTGGGTCCTCTTCCAGTAGTGCTCTCCTCAGCATTACGTGGGTGCTTACGTTGTATGGGGAACAGCTCGCGGTTACAGTAACATGCGACTGCGCATGCGTGGTGACGCTCTATCGGGGAGGACCGTTGGAATCGGAGTTGGGTGTGGTTTCGAATCCTTGGGTACTTGATGAAAACATGACGTGTCCCTCGTGTTTATGCCCTGTGGTTGGTGTGCAGCAGGCGCTGAGGGGGCGTCTGCAGAGCGGGGCCTTCTACCCCCACGGCGCAGCGGGCGGGGCCCAGGCCTGGCTTGCACAAGGGTTCAGCTGCCTTTCCGGCACTCACTGGTTCTGTGATTTCAAGCCGCTCGCCTTTCTTGGCTCTTCACTTCTCTGTTTTTGAACTCAGATGCAATTGTTGTTCTCATTTTAAATTTTTTCCTTTCTTTTTGGATTTTGATAAGAGTAAGTTCAAATGTGACATACTCATATACAGGACAATATATACAGGGAAAATCTCTTAAGATCTTAAGAGTTATGTTCTACTGAGGATATGTTGCTTTAGATATTTTAGTTGTTTTAGTTACTGTGTCCTATAATCTCAGCTTACTTTTGCTTTTGAGTTGGTCTCAAACTCCTGGGCTCAAGGGATCCTACTGCCTCAGCCTGCCAAGTAGCCAGGACTGTAGGCATTACCATTGTGCTTGGCTTCAACATGATATTTTTTTGACTTTTCTTCATTGTCTCTAATTTAAATTCATTGAGTCACTTAGAAGTAAGTAAATTTATTTATGGTATTAATTTTTGAGATGGGGTCTCATTATGTATTCCAGGCTGGCCTTGGACCCACTTTTGTAGCCCAGGCTGGACTCAGATTTGCAGCAATCCTCCTGCCTCAGCCTCCACAGTGCTGGGATTACGTAGCATGTGTCACTATATCCACCTCATTAGAATTTTAAAAGCTCATTTGTTCTCACTTTAAAAATGTTTAATAGAGTTGGTCTTTTAGTATTATAAAACCTTTTTCACATTTTGCTTAGTGAATTTAATGAACTTCTCTCAGTGAATTACAACGTGAACCTTCCCTCGAGTTGAGTTGACGGTTGGGGCCTTGTGGTGTTGATGCGTTGGCCCAGAGGGAATGTGGGGCAGCACACGCTTCGCGGCGTCTTTGGGCTGGACGTGCTGCTCGCCCACGTGGCCTGTGCCCTAAAGCCTGAAGTGCAGGCCGAGCCAGGAGAAGCAGCGAGGTCACACACGGCCGCTTGGTCCCGTTTCCTGGTGCGCAGAGCTCGCAGGGCTTGCTTGGTAGCACTCGTAGCTTGTGGCTGTCGTCACCCCAGGGCCGCGTTACTGTGTGGGTCACGGCGGCTGTCGAGCTGCTCTGGTGCGAGTGAGGCGCTGAGCGGGGGTGCTCAACGGCCTTTGCACCCCAGTGCTGCCTGTGGCCTTCTGTGTCCCTTGGACGGACCTTTTCTGCTCCTGCGGGGTAGGGCAGGCCGGACTGTAACTGCAGCGCTTCTCGCTGCGGTCTGCTGACTGCTGCTGTTGCCATGGAAACACGACTTTCTTGTCTGTGAAAGCTGTTTTTGACAACCATGTGTAGGTCTTTTCAGAACATACTGCTTGTGTTTGCTGAGTACCGGGTGTTCGTGGCTCGGAGACGTGATCGGGAGTCATCTGCTGCCTCAGGTTCCGCATCCACTAGTTCATCTCTTGAGACCTGGGTCCTGGCTGCTGTTCTCTAAGTGGGGAGGGGCACTGGTAGTTCTTCATGGGAATGGGGGAGTGTTAGCAGCTCCGTCCGTGGGAGTGGGGGCGTTTCTTCCATAGCTGACGTGTTCTCACTTTTTACATCATTTCTGTTAGGCTTCACATTGCAGAAGAACATTTTTTACCTTTTTTTTTAGATTTATCATTGTGTGCCTGCCTTTTGCTACTTGCTATCTTATGAGTTTTAAAAATTTGTTCCCATTTATCAGCAGTTTGATTTTTTAATTATTTTATTTTTTGGTCTTTTTGAGATAGGGTCTTGCTACGTAGTTCAGGCTGGCCTTGAGCTCACTTTGTAGCCCAGGCTGGCTTCGAACTCACAATGATCCTTCTGCCTCAGCCTCCCAAGGGCTGGGATTACAGACCTGCGCCACCACACCTGGCCTGATTTTTTTTTTTTTTAATAAGAATCACCATTTTCTCATTTTGACTTATTTTTTCTTACATTTGCGCTGCTGTTATGAATTTAAGTATTAGTGTGCAGTGTTTTTGAAAGAAAGATTTAGAGCAGTGTTTCCTGAGTGCGTCACAGAACACAAGACCCTGTGTGGGTTGGAGGTGCCACACACCGTGGTCCTCTCGGAGCCGTAGGGGGCGGTGGGGGAGTCCTGCGATACGGACATCTGCTTCAGCTTCGCGATCCCAGCCCCAGAAAGCTTTATTCTTGCAAGGTTTGCAAACCTTGAAGACCCACAGACCGCGCTAGGGAAGCGTGAGGGTGGGACTCACCCGGGCTGATCCGTCAGATTGCTTGGGGCGAAGCTGACGCCTCTGGGTCTCTTAAAGGCTCCAGCTAATTCTGATGAACCAGGTGAGAGCACTCCCTCAGAGCGGGGTTTGCAGCCTGGCCGTGGGGCAGGCCCTGCCCCTGTTCATTTTGCCGAGGCTCAGGAGCTGAGAAGAGTGTCAGTGTGTGTAGGTGGCTGAAACAAAATATTTTGAGAAATCTGTAGAACATGCTCTGAAAGTGATGAGAAGTTCAGTGTGCTCCCAGATAGCACTTCAGGAGGGTGTGGCCACACCGTGCATTTGCACGTTGTCTGTGGCTGCTTCCTCGCTGGGAGCGATTGCAACAGAGGCAGCAGAGCCTCAGAAAACCCGAAGTGTGTGTCTGGGTTTAACAGGAAGTCCTGGCCACGCCTGTGGAGAGCAGGGACCTCAGAGGCTAAGTGCCCTGACGCACAGTGCGGTCTGCTGTGAGCTTGGGGAAATGCAGGTTCTCAGGCCCCACCCAGACCCGGCTCTGTCGTCCTGACGGGGTAAGGGTGGAAGTCTGGCAGTCGGCCACGTGCGCTTTGCGAGCACATCAGAGGCGCGGGGTTGTCACGGCGTGGCACGTGGTGAGGGTGCGGCGTACACGCGCTGGAGGAGCACCGCAGACTTCTCTCACGGCAGCTTATACTGACAGGAAGAACCCTTGTGCGTGTGAGCTTGGAAGCTGGCTGTTCCCCTCGGTGGTGCTGTCTGCTGACGGCTGGGCCGCAGCGCGAGGAACCACGT